ACCCGAATTCGAACCCTATTGCGTGTGTAAAAGAGACCTGAGCGAGGTCGAAGCTGAGGTCAGTTGGGCTAATGAAGCCATTTGGTAGGCAAGGCTCAGGAGAATTCAACATCCTCGTGGGGTCTTCTATGTAGTTTATTGTCAGAAACTTAATTATCAGTACCTATATTCGTTTTGGTTAATACTTAAAGAGTATTTAGAGACCCCGGGTGAACTGATTTCTTATATAAAAGCTACTGGCATATATACCTTAAAGATGTCTGCCACATGATACGAGGGACGGCTGCAGTGATCTTAGAGATGAATGCCTTTTTTAATAATCTTAAGCGGATGTTGGTTTTATACTTAATTATGTAATACAGATACCAATAGCCAACTTGCTCCATCTTGCTTCTGGTGAAGCCAAACATTTACAAGTGCAGATGCAAGCAAAGTTTTTAACCACTTTCAAGTTAGCAACAAAGTAGGTTCTATAAATCCAGATTCTTTCTACACATATTAGCATTCTCTTTCAAGAGTCTTCCTAGAAAAAAATATATAATAAATCTGGGCGGATTTGATACAAAATTGTGCAAAATTAATTTGTGATCGCTCAGAACTTTAATATTCCCCTCGTCATTACAAGGCTATTGCTCATCATTCTGCTGGCCGTATTCACGGTGTCGCCAAACAGGCAGTATCTGGGCATCTTGAAGCCGACAACGCCGGCAACGATGGGCCCTGTATGACAACCGATGTATAGTTGTAACGGTTTCTTCTTTTGCCCTGGTTTGGTCGGGTCGATTTGCTCATCTACGAGGAGGCCTGCAGCCAGCAGACTTTGGCGGCGCTCGTTTGAAATCTGCGGCCAAAAGAGTTCCCTTTGAGTCGCCTCAAGGATGTCCAGCGCGATATCGGCTATATGGGCGCTGAGAGACCGAGAGGGTGGGGCATTAAGAGAGGGAGGTTGGAGCAGATCAGGAAGGCTGGAAGAGGGTAAAGATAGTAACTTTTCCTGCTTAGGCCGCTTAAGGTGATTTAAAGACTGATAGTTGAGTTGTATCCTTCAATTAGATAAATATGCCATATGATACCATTAACTGTCAACAATCATTCCTTAAGTGTTGGTTCGATCCTTTTTCCCAACTTGGTCGGAGCGTCAGGGAGACTTTGTTGGACGTACCGAGTCCTGAGTCCTCTGCCGTAGTATTCGTGCTTCCCAGCATCGGACCATTGACTTGGTACATTCCCAAACGTTTCGCTGGCATCGTCAGTGAGAGGTGCCATCATCAACATAGAGTTACAACATATCAAAGTGAAAAGTGAAGGCAACCCTCCGTCACTTTGATAAGTTATAATTCTCTGCTGATGATGGCACCTTTCAGTGACGATACAGATCATAATCGAGGTAGGCTGATTAAGGTATCGTTCAAGCAGTAGTGAAGGTCTCAAAAACTACTTCTATCGAAAAAAGCAACCCCATCGATTTTAATAGCCTTATTGACAATCCCACTATA